TGACAGAGATTAAATTATAAAGTTCTGTCCTAAGAAAAAAATCCATTTTTAACAACAGTACATAAAACAAAGCAAAAAAAAAATCTAAAAGATGTGTTGGTATAATTTGAATAAAATCTCTTTTCTCAGCACAGATTGCTCATCATCAAGCCCTCTTTGGGTAGGACTGCTCTTTGACTTCATAGGCTGCCCTGTGTCTGGAGATCATGCAGAACCAGACCCAGGATTTTAGGGGTTAATCCTCAGAGCTTCTCTGAAACCTGGCTATGACCTACAATTGTTTGTCTGCTACTGGCAAGTAGCTAAAGTGCAATAGTGCCAGGCTCCCTTCCAGAGTAATACAGAAAAAGCCCAGCTGTGCAGATTCAGTTGCTGGCTAAGATAAAGCTATACATTTTTGTTAGAGGTTTTGATTTTCTAGCCCAAAGTTACCTTCTTGGCTAAGAACTGAAAAGGTCATAGGTTTAAACAAATGAATCGGGTTCTTGTGCTATAAGGATAATTAAGATCATTAAACACTTATAGTACATAAAGGCTGAAAGGAATAAATGTAACAGTGGGAAGTGCTCTTGGGAGAGTCCACAAAATTTCCTATTTCCTTCTCTGAGTAGCCAAACCTCCATTTAAATAAAGGAGAAAGATACACACATACCCATTTGACAAAAATAATTACGGCTGGCAATTCTCTGTCTTGTTCAGCTATGCAGACATTTCCCTCGCAACTATTATTACACAGTTAAGCCTCAGATATCTGTGGTGAGGGAAGTAATGGTCCTCTATTGGTCACTGTGATTTTCACTAAGAGGCAGCCACTCCCAGGACAAAACATTCACAGTACACCCAGTACTATGTGACAATTTAGGACAAAGGAATAAGAATTCATGATTCAGCTGAACCTCCATGAATAGGAAGAACAGGAGGAGATGTGATTTGTCTGAGACATCAGTTCCAGGACTCCATTCATACACAACGCCCCGTGGGGTATTAGGTGAAAAATAGACCATAATTATGACTTCAGTTTTTTGAGTCACCAGAGAATTAGCACCTGCAAGAGCCCAGCGACTCTTCCATCATTGTGTGGCATTAGTTTAGGCTTGACTTGAAAACAAAGCCAGTACCTTGTGTACCTCAGCTGCATTTCCAGAGGTGTTTTTTATTGGTAATTCAAGTACGGATTGTCAGAAGTTTCAATAACGTGAAGAGGTGACATTATATACAAAAACGATTTTTCACCTTTTGGAGATTTTCCAACCTATGCCAGGTGCAAAAGAAAAGGAGGCCATTACAGCATCTAGAGAGGAATGTGTTTTAGTGCATGCTAACAGTGTCCCTTTTTTGACTCAATTATGCTGAAAGAAAAAGACCAGGGGGGAAGGATGTGCCATGAGCAGCTACCAGTCCTCTTTGCACTGTGAATCCTCTGTGATCATGATCTGTGGTGTGGGGGGGCTGTTTTAATTTTAATAACTGACTCATGTTCTACAATATGGCTCCCACTGACCTTGTGAGCTTGCAAATGGCTGTACAAGATATAAAGTAGGAGAATTACGTAAAAAATCCCCTTTTTTTTGAAATGTTTGCTACACATATATGTTTGTCTTCGAAAAGACTCCCTATTCAACCCCTTTTAATATTTTCCATTTTTCTTTTTAACAGGGTTTTGATTTTTTTTTCTAAAGGGCTCTTTACATATTCAGTAGGCTTTTCCCTCTCTCTCCTGTTTATGACTCAGTTGTCACAAAAGGTTTTAAATATCTTCAGTCATCTTCACTTCTGAAGCTATTATCAGTCTCAACTCACAGCATATTGAGAAGAGCAACTCCACTCTTTATCTCTGTCCTCTTGCAGACAGTATTTATGGAAATGTATCTGCTTCACAAGAACAGCTACCAACCTACAATCTCTCGTCCCCTGAAATTAACCTAGAAACTGTCCCAAAAAACCAGATTCCTTTCAGGCGGTGCTAATCTTAAGTGCCTCAAATGCCTGTCTGTTGTGCTGACAAGCACTTGACAGAACATTTCTGATATTCAAAGTCACACAGGGGCAGGCAACTAGGAATCCTATACCTGACAGAAAATATTGCTTTATGATTGGAAACACAGTCTTTCTTTTTTCAGCCTAAGAGGTCTCAAGATATCAGATCTTAAATCTATACCATTATTCTACACTGGAAAGCAACTTTCAGCATGTTCTAGAGCTTTATTAATTTTACAGAAAGTTTTGATCTCCTGCTCTTTTTTTTGGTTGTTTTTCGTGGGGAGGTGCACGGATAGATTTGTTTTACTTCAAAGGTTTGAATTTCTAAGGTGTGAAAAGATCCTGAGCTACTTAAAAGGAATGTCTCAAAAACACTTATATGCTTGTATTTTGAGGGAGAGAAAAACTGCACAAAGGGTATGCTGCTGCCATGAAGACCTGCTTTTGACACTCTTGCTATGCTCTGTCTAATAAATGACTATGTGAACCCTGAAGTTGTCATGAAATAGCTGTTCCCTCATCCTTTCCTTGGTCTGTCCTCAGTTCTCTTTTTCTGCCAGTCTTCCTGACGTCACCTCTCCAGGGGAGAGGTAGGATTTCTCAATTCTCTTTTCATTTTGCTGTGTCTCTCGTAACTGTGCCAGCCCAGGAGTCTGAATGGATTTGCAACTTCTCTTTTAGGGAGTCTGTGAATACTCCACTTCATTAAAAATAGAATGGTATTTAAATATTTAAGCTTAAATATGCAAACTTAAATATTTCAAACAAATGGATTTGAAAATGACAATCCATATGCATATCTGTCCTGACTCAAGCTTTCCTATCCACTAAAGGGAGAACAACCAAGCTTATTTTCTCTATAAACGACAGCAACAGCTTGCATTCCCAGCCTGCTCAGTCAATTAATCTTGTCCTTCATCAATCAGATCTCTTGATCTTTCCTATGCTTTTTTTTCTATGCCTTGGGATTTCAACATTTCAGTTGAGATGCACTTTTCAGACTGGTTATATCATTAGTAGATTCTCCCAGTACCTATTAAGATGAGCACTAAGATGGACATTAACATTTTGTCAAGTTCACTTTCTTTTGAGAGGCTGTCCCCTTATCAAAGATTTGCTGCCTGTTCTGTTTTTCTCTAAAGTCTACTTTTTGAACTCACTTAATTCAAGACCAATAGCCAAGGCAACATATTGTATTCATAAATTATTACAGAGCAGCTCCACTTTCATCACAGCAGTTATGTGACTTCCCACAGATCCAACTTCCAGAACACACTGTCTTATGTTTCAAGGAGTAATCATGCCTTTCCCACAGGAGAGAGCTCTGGTAACCTATATCACTTGTATTTATATGTATTAGTTACATTTTGACAATGTTGATACAGCAACACAGGCTTAGCCATAGCAGAGTGCTGTGAGAAATGTCCTCCCTTGGAACAGTAAGGCACCAACACTTGTCCTTTGTATCAGCAAAGTGAGTAGTCCTCATGATGACACAGTGCCAAACTTTAATTGACTTTTCCTGTTCTGCAAATTTAACATGCTTTTTGCCCTTCCAGGGGACTGAGTCACATGTAACATAAGAGTTACAGTCTATAGTTGTGAGGAAAAAATTTACATAGCAATACCAGAGGCATTCTCCTCTCTGCACTAGTAAAGAGGTTTCCTGGCAACAGCAACATTGTAGAGGTACTATGAGATAAAACATAAAATCACAGCCCTGAGCACCTGCTATCATCAAGCATCCCCTAGCACTCAGCACAAGACTGAAGGTGTTAGTTCCATTTCCCTGACCAGATTCCCCTGTGATATTTTAAAACCCACCTGCAGCTTCACTTTCTCTTAGATTTCTAGCTCTTGGTTTCCTGCACGCTGTTAAAATTTGCCAGTTTCCAGCTGTGGTTAAGGAAAAGGGGAATTGTGCTGGGAGATGTTTATTCATCTGGATGAGTAAACAAAAGATACTTTTTGAACTGAAGTTATTATCTGCCTTGGAAGTGGCAAATGGCTGTGATCAGCACCTCAGTTAGCTCCCATGCCTGATGCCGATGCTTTTTTCAGCGACACGCTTGTTTTGTCCTGTTTTACAGTACAGAAAGAAAGGACAAATTATATGACCATTGTAATTATTATGTTTCCAAAGGAAGGTTTCCATTTCAGAGCATTGGCAGTTGCATCGAATAGCTTTGTGCCTACTGCCACATTTTCCTTTGTCTTTGTTAGCTCTGGGGTCTGTTCTGTGCCACGATTTAGCTCTTTTCAGACACCAAACAGCTCACTATAGACTGGCAAGCCTCAGAAGCTACATGAAAGTGAACCTCAAGCAAAGGGTTAAACTAAATCTCTATTGGTGTGAATAAGAGAGAAAATTTCCCATCAAAAGATGCATTAATATTCCTGTCATATATACTACATTTTATCCATATTTTGGATGGTCTAACACCTACTACATGAGCTCAGTCCAAAAGTCACCTCATTGTCTGATTAACACATAAGTCATATTAGAACACTTACAGAATTTTCAAGCATATCCTACATATTTGTAGAAATAATGTTATATGAACTTTTCAGGTCAAGGAACTATCACAGTACAGATTTGTCAAGTATTTATCATGAATTGAAACATATTTCTGATTAGGTGTGGGTGTTCTGTTGTAAGAGAAGTGCTAAATAATAGTGATTGTACATTTAGCAAGTGCAAATACTTGTATGTGCAAACCTAGGTTTTTGCATGCTCAAATAAGGTTGTTTTCAAATTTTGCAGGCACATTTATGGATCTCTGAAAAATTTTACATTTTCAGTAGGGGAAGAACTCTATTACTGAGTTCTAAAATACCCTCCTTTTGAATGTTTACTGACTTAAAAAATACAGTCAAATGATTTCAGATGTATAAAGCTTGTTAAATTAATGGAGTATAATAAAAAGTTAGTACATATAAAAGTTTATAAAAAGACATAGCAAAATAATCTTAGAAGTAGATTATCATGTATATGTTTTGCATTATCATGTTAAAAATTTTTAAAAGGATTACAGCAAAGCCAAACAAAAAAAAAACAAAGAAAGAGGAGAAAAGGATGGATCAAATGTCTTTGTTTTCGAAACCTAAAGTTTTCTTAATATTGCTCCAAAAATGCATCCATAGAAAGAAATTAGGTAAGTAATTGTTTATCCCCTTGGAAAAAATCAACCCAATGAAAACATTTCCTGTTTGCTCGACATTTTCTTCAAAAATATTGAATGTGGTTGTGATTCTTTAAGAAAAATGTATAGTTTTGTCACTTAAACACAAGAAGTCCAAAGAATTCCCAATATTGAAGAAGAAATTTTGCAGGGGAACTTTCTGACCACTTTATCTGTCTCTGACCAATATACATATCCCTAATCAGGCAAAGTTGCTTATTTATGAATGTCTGATGCTCATAAAGGACTGTGGAGAGAGGAGGTTATTTCCCTGACAGCAATTTGTAGCATGAAAATGAGTGATGCAGCTATCCTTCACCTTTAGGTTTCGTATTACAACTTTTTTAAGGCCAGGAGTCAGTTTTGAGCACTGCAGACAAAAATAAGGGTCAGTTTTCTACTGCTTGAACAGAAGCTCAATATAGACAAGAGATGGTGGGGAAAGATGCTGGGAGAGTGAGGGAAAGGGCCACATCAGCAGAAGTGTGACAATGCTGTCATCTGAAGCTGAGGTCATGGAGTGCAATAAGTGACTGACACCTTACTGAGCATCACCCGTGCAGAGTGAAAGTATAAAAAAGCTATGCCGTGCAAAATACAATTCTTGTTAAGTACTCTTGCTGCTATCAGTAAACTGCTTCAATAAAAATAATTCAGGCTTTTAGGAAAGTAAGCTTTTCAAACTGTTGTAAAATTACTACAATATATTTTACACCAAACATTTGCCAGATTTGATTTTTCACAAATTAGGCTGATGTAGAAGATATGGCAGAAATGTGGATAACCAACAACAACTACAACAAAAAAGAATTCAGAGTGGGAGCAGGGAATTTACAACTTCTCCAAATTAAAATATTTTAAATTTCTTAATAAAGATATACATAAAGCAACATATTTCTTAGCTTAAACTGTGCTAAGCTTTTCCTCAAGGCTTCTGTGATTACACTCAGAGCAACTTATGAACCAGGCTCTAAAGACAATAGACTGGTTATACTGAGCATATACTCTATCTTTTGAGATAACTAAGAAAACAGTGGGGAAAAAATATCTTTTGCATTATTTCTATTAATCACTGTTAAGGGACTAAATATAATTAATTAGGGCATCATTTTTGAAGTTAGGTGTCCCAATAATTTTGCTGCCTGATTTTTCCTAGATGCAGGGCACCCATCAGTCAAGTTTAGACACAGAAGTCATTCACTATCGTTATTAACGATATCAGAAATAACACAACAAGAGGGGACAAACTGAGCCTTTGGTATTTGACAACAATTAAAATTTAAGAAAAAGAATTTTGAAATACCTTACTACCTATGATGAAACATACAGAATACTCATAAAGAACAATGAAATAGTTAAAAATATGTTGCTGATTGCTGAACACTTATGCTACATTTGATTGTGAAATCCTTAGCTTTTTGGATATTAGGTGCAAAAAAGTGCAAAGAATATTTAGTTAACTGTTACAGTACCACATTACAAAAAGTATTTTCTAGGCCACAAAGGCCACTGCTAATATAATTTATATTAAGGTAAATGTATACACAAAATAATTTTCAATCTCCATATATATATATATCTGTTTCTATATCAACCTTGCAGAATCATGTTGAAAATTAACTAGACCACAGAATTTCAGCGTGATAACAATGATGGGAGGAAAAACCTCACAGAGGAGAGCTTGTTCTCCTATTAAAAAAATTACTCACGCAGGGCAAATGAAGGAATGAAATTCTGCAAGGCCACTCTGTATTTATGGTGATGAAAATACAATCTTAAACAGGGAGGGTAAGTGTTCAGAACTACCAACCCTCTCTGGGAGAAACCATTTCTACCTAGAGGCCATGAATAGCAACCTGAAACAGACATTCACAAACTTGGGCTGGAGCTTTTTCTTTTTTTCTAATTTTTTCTTTTTTTTTTCTTTTTTTTTTTAGTCTTTTAAATTTATTTGTAAAGACTGTCTGAAAGATTGATTTTTGTATTTATTTGCTTGTCTGCTGTGTTTGTAGTCACAGAAGGCAAGATGTAAAACCTGCCTCCTTTTTTGACTTAGAAACATCTGCAGTGTTAAGACCAGCCTTCCCAACTTTTCTGGAGCAGTTAAGACACTTTGAGGCATGATTGACTGTCTTAGAGATTAGTTAGTGGAATGGAGGGACTGGATTGTCATAAACATTTTCTGTGTCAACCAGGCTAAACCAACCCAAAATGGTTCTTCAGAAGTTTGTCAAAACTACCTTTTCCCTTCATATCTGGATTAATTCTCAAAATTTCTTTCATTATCTTAAACCAATCTCCCATTGGCAATTTTTTTCATTTATGACACCTTTTACCTGTAAAAATGCTGTTTTGGAAAACACTGTCTTCTGTTTTCTTTATATATTGCAAAGATACAAAAAGTACCACTACCTCAACTTTTTTCTAGTTACAGTTCAGCTTCGAAAATCTCAGACCAAATTGTGCAGTCTTTGCCATGCTCTTCACAGAAAGAAAAAAGAAAAAAGGAAATAGCTATGTGATTTATCCAATTGAGGTAAACTGCAGTGTTTGAAAGAGAGAAATTCATAAAATAATATGTAGTTCTCTTCTAGTTTTTAAATCATCTGACTACAGCCAATGTTTTTTTGCATTTGCTGTCCTGTGTATTCTGATAAATAGCTACATTTCAATTTTTCTCTCCATACACTGACAGAAAACATATCTAAATATCTCAAATTCATATTTAGTATATAATTCTAGAGGCATCCAGCTGGTGACCAGAAACTATTCCACGTGTGCTATGCATGCAGTCAAAATAACTTCAAAGTAATCTCCATCTGTCACATTAAACCAAGAATCTGAAAAACATTCTGGGTAACTGCAGCATTTGCTCAATTTTCTGAGCAGATAAAATACATTAAATCAATTCCTTTACTTCAGAGCATTCTCTCCTAGTTTACACTAGTTTGACTTGTGTAAACATCAGGCAAGGACTGCATGATGCCAGCAACAAACGGGCTGTTTTGATGGGCTGGATGCACCTCATCAGGAGACACCTACATCCCTGTGGAGCTGCATCCACTTCCACACCCCTCATTGCAGAAACATTCATTTTCCACAGCGATACCTGTACAGGCACTGTCAGTGCCATGCAGAGACATCCCAGACAGCTCTTTGTCAGCCACTGGGCAGCTGAAGCAAACCATCTTCCAGTGCCTGGGGGCCCGTGCCTGGCTGCTTTGCTGGACAGGAGAATAGGGGCAGCTGGCACTGTGATTGCTGGAAGATTATAACTGCATAGATCCAGTTCTGATGCCTGTTCCATAAGGGTTGACCTAAAACCCAGCAAAGCCAGTAGATCCTTGTCATTGGCTTTGGTGGACTTTTGATCAGCCCTTCCTCCCCGCCCAAGGAATGAGCTGATTTTACACTCAAAACATGACAACATTTATTTTTTTTGTCATGCAACATTCGGTTTGGAGTGCTATCTTGCAAAGTCTCTCAGGATTTAGTGCAATTTAGAAGAAATTTATGACATGAGATACATATATTTATACTATTTGCTCTCCCTCAAAAGAATTAGGCCTTAAAAGCTGCAGTAGTTTTGAATTGTTTAAGGGATTTTTTTTTTTCCTCTGTTTTCTTTGTCTATGCAAAGATACAGGTCATATCAAAACACTGCTTGGATATGACACTGGATACATGCCAGTGATAAAACAGGTGAATGAATTTGCATGAGGAAGGGTTATATTAGACTGGAGTCAACTTCATTCATACATTAAGAAATTATTATAAACTGTATAATAAGACTTAGAATAGGAAAAATGTATTTTAATAAAAAAATATGGATACAGTTCATCTGTGGATGCCAAACCTTCTGTATATGTAGATGGGAGGGAGCTTTGGACACTGAACACGATGAATCCACTCTTGTTCCTTAGGGTGTAAGCGGAGGTTTTGGTGATGAACAAGATCCCTGGCTATCAAAACTGGTTGCTCGGCCAGGTAGCTGCAAAAAAAGTGTTACGTTTACAAATGTCATCAGATCTGTCTGTGCACCACACTCATTTCAGAAGATGAGAGACTCTCTCAAAAAAGAACTCAAATCACACCCAGACCCTTTCTAGCCTCTGGATCAAAGTCTCTGGCATCAAAGTCTCCAGCAGAACTAATAATGGAAAGAAAATTTTTTAAGTGACCTAAAAATGCCTCTGACTTTTTTCACATAAGTGGCTTCATTTCACCAGTCAGGGGTGGTACCTCTGTCTCCAAACCTAGATAGGTTCTTAAGGCTTCCACATGCATCTTTCTGAATTCAAACCTGAGAGCATTTTGTATACAGAACACCAGCAATATGTGGCCACAGCAGGCTGAAGTAGGAGTTCAAGTCCAGGGACTTACAGATATAACGACCCATGCATTCGAACAAGCTTCCAATAAGTGTCTGCTGAACAGCTCTGGAGGGAGCTGCTGGTATGTTCCTTGAATTTAGCATAATTTGCTGGCCAATTTCAGATTAGTGTTTTGGCAACAACTCTTCCTGTTAAACATTTTTGAATAGAACATGATACCTTTTGAAATTCTTGCAAATGATCTGTAAGTAGATGTAAGTTCCTTATCATAAATTCTAGAAATTTTTATTGTCTTAATGTAATTTTGCAGTGCCATTAGAGCATCATGGAAACTTTTGAAGTGGTCCCTTTAAACAATCAATAAACCCATGCAACTAGATTTAGGTTGTGCTAAGAATCTTGCAGCTGACATTTAGATGCTGCACTGATTTTGTTGTTCTCAGAAGCACATAAGTGTGAGAGGCAAAAACATCCAATATCCTGAGAATGAGAAAATCTTGCTAGTTCTTACCTCCAGTAGTGGATGCCAGTGAGTTATTGGTTTACGTGGGTAAGCCAACATTTCATTCCAATGATCTCTTCCAAGCCCTTCAGCATCAATGCCTGTCCGACATACCCCAATGACCTCATTGTGCCCTACTCTGAGAATTGTAGAGAGACAGAATTTGTTTTTAATAAAAATAGTTTTAATAACATCTGATGTACAATTCTGTTTACTGGTTTAGTGTGGCACAGAGTACATGACCAAAGTTTTCACATCATTTATTACAGATATTAGTTTTGATGGTAGTATAGTAATATTAAGTTCTGTATTGGTTACATCAAAAACCTACAGCCACTATCAGAGTGCTTCTGGCAGCTATAAAAATAGCAATGAAGACATAACCTTTACCATTAAAAGGTTACAACCCAAAAGACAAAAGGACAGAAAAGGATCATAATACACAAAATTATCTAGAAAGAAAACATGCTTGAATTTTGTGGGAGAGGAAGGTAAAAATGATGGGGTATACATTTCATGCTACAAATCCTTCAGACATCATTTCATAAACTTATTCCCAGCTCTAGCTGTTGTGATCTTTGGAAGTTCAGTCAAAAAAGTGAAAGGTAAGCATCACAGTTGTAATAGGTTATACCTTAATACTTCATACTCCTAGCAGTGCCATAGACTTGCTGAGGGACTCCAGAAAGTAATTTTCTGTACCTTGACTTTATGTACCTTACCATAATGCTTTCTAATTTCCTCTTAGCAAATGCTGGGAAAGGAGCAGCTGAGGAGGACTGCAAGTGTGCAAGTTGCTGTGAAACTAACAGCACCACAGTGCCTCTTTCACATCTGACAGAGAAAGTCTTACTGACAGAAATTGGAGGACAACCAGAAATCTGATGGCAAGGAAAAACAGTCTGAAGGGTGATGTTACTAAATTGGACTTTCAGCACTTATTTGCCCTGCAATCTCAAGAGCTCATTACTAATAGCACTTGAATGAAACAGACTTGGCTCAGGCAGGATTCTGTCAGTCACTGTCTAGTTCAACCTGCAGTCCTTGAGTCACTCTAAGCAGGAGTCTCTTCCTGTCAGTTCTGGGGGAAGGACACAGATAACTGAGGCTTAAATATGTTGTCAGTGAGGACTAAACCCAAAGGTTACGTATTCAAAGGTTACTTTATTGAATCAACCAAATAATTAATTATTACTTAATTCAATGTGCCAATTAGCATCTAGTTCTTTCTCAGTCATTCAAATTTTCTTTGGTTTCAAATACCTGCCATTTAAATAGAAATAAGAGGTGTGAGGGATTTTTTTAAACTGGAAGGTATATCTGATTTACAAAGCTTTTACACAGTCCAGCCACCAGATGTGTACAGGAATGTTTGCCAATGCTAGTGGTCCATAGGAAGACTGAGCCATATTTCTCCCTCATCACAGTTATTTATGACACAGATAAAAGGTTAAAAAGTGTGGAAGCTTTAAACCTCTTCAGGAAAAAAACCCAAGGCTTTATCTTTTGTGCCACTGAAGCTGCTTATTAGTTCAAAGAGCTAGAAAGCAGTGACTTGCAATGATCAGGTATTGTCTCACTGACGATTAATGGTCAGAAAGAAAACTGTGCTTACCGATCATAATCCATCACTGCAATGGAGAGGCTGACCTGGTCCACGTTCTCTGGAGGGATGTCAAAGATGATGGCCTCGTTATAAATGGGATTGAGGGTGTTCTTCTTCGTGGTGGTTTTCCGTTTTTTCAGTCTTCGTCCCTCACACATCAGGGACACTTTGACATACGGATCTGAGGGACAGAAAATCAGTCGCAGACATTTGGACACAAAGTCATTCAAATGTGTAGCATAAGGACAATATTAGTTGCAGAAATGTAATATTGATAAGATAGAAAATTGTGAAGATTTTAGTGACCCTGGGAAGCATTGCTTTCAACATGCTGTAAATGCAAAGGAAAGGTATGGGGTCTATATCCATTCTCCTGCTATTTCCATCCCACAACCACATTAAACACAGAAAACCCAAGGAGTTCTTATTCATCCCCTTCTTGAAGAAACCCTCCCTTGTTATTTAAAAAAAAAAAAAAGTAGATTCACCTGATGCTCCAGTTATATCCATTGCTTTGAGATTCCTACATTTGATGACTGTCAATGTCATTCTCCCAGCAGTAGGCAAATAACAAAGGGAAAACATGATCTCACCCAAATCTATGCTTTCCTGAAAAAGAAAAGCAGTGATTAGAAGTCTGATCATACTGCCAACAATTCAGTACAGATCATGCAAAACTTTGGAATTTCTCTTCTAACATGGAGAGAGGCTTCTTTTGCAGCCTCAGATGCATTTTGAAGGGGTCATAAGCAATTTTAAAAAATTATTTCTATAAAGTACAGAAAGAGTAACAACAGGGTAATAACTTAGGGACAGGATGTACAATTAATAAACTGAGAAATTAAAACAAAATCAGAACCAAAACTTTCAGGATTCCTGACACGCTTGTGTTGAATTCACACAAATGAAAAGGTGCTGAATGTAGAATGTCAAGTTCTGCTCTTGAAAAAACTCATACTCCATCAACAACACTGGAATTTATGTAGGAGATTTATTTCTAGACACCTGTATGTGAATGAAAAGCTAATCCTGTCAAAAAAGACAATACTTGTTAAAGTTGCTGTATTTACTGCTTTTAATGTGCTTTGAGGGGTTGTTCTGTTTTAGAAGAAAAGCAAAGTAAAGGAGTAGCATCTACAGCTTTCTGGGCTCAACAACAACTTTTTGGAGGATTATATACTCAGAAAGATTGATAAAGCCCATATGGATCTTAATAATCCTCACAAAGAGACAGTTGCTATACTTTGACAATGTGCTGTAAATATATGCAATATGATATTGCTATACAGTTCTACAATACTTGAGAAATGTAACCTAAGGAAGAGAGTTTCCACCAGTTCTTATTTTTTTTTCTTTTTCACAGTTATATAATTGTCCTAGTACTGTAAAAGTTTATTTCTTGAAATGTTAGTTATGTTCTAAATTGTTCTTGTTCTGTATTTTAACATCCCCTCCCAAACTCCCCCCTCCCTCCCAAAAAAAAGACCAAAAGAAAATTGCATATTAAGAACTCATGATATGAGCTTGTAAGGAGCATGAAAGGAAGCCACTTCTGTAAGGCTGCCACTCTCAAGCAAGCTCATGTGATCTCAAAGGACCTTTTTTTTGACTACTACTAAAAAGCTTATTTTTAACAGCTCAGCTTCAATATTTTATCTGTCAAAGCTACAGAGTTACCCTGAGAGTACAGATTCTCTTGAGAGCTGCTGGATTTATCCTACAGCTGTTCTGGCTTCAGAAGGCAAGCATGATATATGTTTAAATGGAACATATTAAAATAATGATTGCTGTGTAGATGACAAATACATTGTTTATAGTTATGAGGCAAGACTGTGGGTTCTTGTTAACGTTCTTCAGCTGCTTATGTGAAGAGTTTTATTGGCTTCCTTTGGGTTAATACTCTGTCTAAATTGAAATAGGTGCTTCACATCTTTCTTGAGTTAAGACAGACTTAATCACATGCTTCAGGGTTTAGGTTTTGGTTTGGTTTTCTTTTTTTTTTCCCCTGCATTGCAGACTTCAGACTGAAGAATGCAGTTTTGGAATAGCTTTAAATTCTCTGCTGCGCTGGTAATAAAGTATTGACTTTTGTGTAGGTTGGTCAATTCACATGTTCAGTCGTTTTGCTGAGATTCTGTTCTGAGAATTAACAGATTGATAAGCATGTGAACATGCACTATGGGAAAATTTTATGCTTGTCAGTATTTCAGATTTCTCAGGATTTCAAAATGATTTAACTAGTTCAGTCCACATAGCACAAATACAGCTATCTGACATCTCCTTAGGCCAACCCCTTTCCTTGACAGGAAGAGTACAGAATTTTGTGGCACAGGGTAAATTACCAAACTCACTTTTCTATTTCAGAAGACAAAAATAAAACTTGAACAAATAAGTGTAATTATTTTCACTCATTTGTTAAAGTGGCAAGTGCTTTCTTATATTTTACAGTTTTTGTTATATATGAAAACTCCTTAAAGCACAGCTTCTGTTACAAGCATTACTTTCTGAATTCAGAGTCTGATTGTTGTTCTTCATATCCATATGTCAAACAGATCTCACTATTTTGTTTGAAAAGAATAGTTCCCCCACTTTCAGTGCTTTGAAGTTTAAGGTCTATGTTGAGAGAGGTGATGAAGGCAGGTTGGATATGAAACAACATTGGCAGCTCATAAAAAAGCCCAATTTTTCCTTCTTCAGAGAGATGACTTGTAGGTGAACAGAAAAAAAATCACTTTTGAAGACAGGAACATGAACTTGAGTATTCTATTATTTATATGAGAGAAATTGGATAGACACTTGAAAGTTTGGGTGAGCTCAACTGATAGAGAAGAAGACTGACAGGGTAATGTACTATGACTTAAATACTTTTAAAAAGGCATTGCTCAAAATACTTGCAAAACTCCATGCGGTGGTTACTCTACAGTACTTTTTGAAGAGCAGAGAAAAGCATCAGTGCTTAATAAAATGGTAACCATAAGAGTCTCATGCCCAGTTCTTTTTCTTTCCTTTCTGAACAGCATGTACTGAAGGTATATTGAAAGAGCTTGGAAAATGCCCTGCAATCACACACAGTGCTTTTGACCATTCGATGTATAAGGAAGCTGCCTTAATGCAAAAAAAATGCTCATAAAACCAGTGAGGGGGATCTTTTCACTCTACACAGCAGATCGTCCAAAACGCAGATACTGAAGTTACTGGAGCTCTTTAACTTCTGTGCTAACTGCTCAGTCTGAAGTGGTAAGGGATGGTTTTAAGATTGGGAAAAGGCTCCCTATCACTCCACTGTTTATGCAGGAATTTTCTGACACCTATGCTCTATATCTGGAAAAAAATGTGGCTTGTGCTGCCCTGAAAGGTCTGACTCTTACTATGGAACAACACTCATGTTTCAATAGATAAATTCTGCAGCAAACTAGAATAGATAATATTTCACATAAATGCTTGTCAGTATCAAAGACATTTATGAGTCAGACATAGTAAGATCAAAGGAGCTGGAAACAAAATCAGTGGTTACCCTGCACTAGTCCATAAACTACACTTAACTCTCCTCCTGGTGGAGAGAACTGGCTGTCACAGATTGCCACTACAGACCAGGACTTCCCATGGTCCCCAGATTGAGTTAAAATACAATTTCTTTCAGAATCTTTTACACAACTGGGATGATTTTATCTTCTTAATTTCATTTGGTACTATTTGTGACATCTGTTGTTTGCTGACAGTTTTGTAGACTGTGTCTTTTTGATCAGTAAGGAACAGGAAATCCTAGGACTTTTACTCAGTTTCTACTCTGAGTATCTGCCAAGAATGGTGCTCTTTCTTCATACATGAGTGTGAAGCTGACTATATTTTCTTAGGACCTCTACAAGTCCCCTGGAGATTAAGAAATTAAAAAGAATCATTAAAATAACTATGCTTTGGAAATCAATCAGAGTGTGAAGCACAAGACTCTGAACTTTTAAATGTTCTTTTGAAGATTTAAGATTAAAATTCTGCATATATATATATGATAGCATCAGAGACTCAGTATTTGATGAAATGTCTGGGATATTCCCTTTCCCCCCCCACACACTTTTATTGTTCACTTGAACTCTAGAGTTTTATGAATTTGGAGCTGCAAACACAGATTCAGATCTAGATAACAAACAAAATAAGGCTTTGTGTTTCTTTAAACTTCTTATGACAGTCTTTGTCTATCACATTGATTATCATGAGTAACATTTTTAAATTCCCTGGATCCTTAAGCATTATTGATTTTAGTTGAGACTTAAAAGTAGGATGCAAATTGCTTTGGAATCTCAGTGCTCTAGAAAATCCATATTTTTCTCACTTTATAATACACTGGATAATTAAGTTCACTCAAGTAATCTGACTGGAACCCTTCAGTACAAGCAAATCTGGGGAAGCTAAGGCACAGACTGCCTGCAACAATCATGTCTGCATTAAAGTTCACCTCAAACAAAACACAACTCAGAAGGTACAATCCTGAACTCAGTAGTTGCCAGTCATGCAAATTTTTAGCTATGCCTCAAATTGTCTTACATGTATCCTATATTTACTGAGACTTGCACATTACTTACATTACTCCCATGAAATTTTATCTCTTTCCTAGACCTATTTTGAGGTTTTGTTTTTTTGTGGTTTTTGGCTTTTTTTTGTTTGTTTTTTTTTTGTTTGTTTTCTTCCTAGAACTAAAGTTACATTTCAATTAACAGCTAGCTTTACAGACATTTGTAATGAGTGCTTCCCATCCACTTCCAGTAACAGGTACAGACAAACCAGCATTAAGCACAGTTGCACTAATGCAAATGGAAGCATTTCTTGCTACTTCATATCTCTTATTTCCCTTTTGTGTTCACAAGTCGTCACACAGTATTAAGGAACTGGAGCAGTGGCAAAAGCTACACCATCCTCAGTTGTTTTTATAGCTACCATTTTACTTCTATCCAATCCATTTTCTGGTATGGTGATGGTAGAACAAAAAATAAAAAACCAGAAAACAATGATCTCATGTGTGCATGTCAGTTATTCAGATAAGCTTCATTTTTTTTTTTTATCTGCAGAATACAGACTTTTTTAAATAGCGTAATTTTCACCCCACACAACCCACTATGTGCTAAAATTTTTTTCCATTAGTTCCATTAGGAGAGATCCATTAAGATCTGTCTGCATTCCCTGCTTTACGGGCTCTTGGGAAATCGGTCCAGAAGTTGGCAAAGTCAGATGAAAAAGGCTCCTTATTGTATTATATTTGTTACCATACCCAATGGACAGCAGTGCCCTCATTTTCACCCTTATGCCTGTAGAATTAGCAGGATTTCTACTGAGGCTGTGCTCCCCACTCATAATACAGATAAACAGTGGAAGGGTCTGAGGAGGAGTTTGGAGAACTTGTAGGGGAGCATCAATTAAACTGATCGAGTTTTTAGAACTGCTGTTGCTTGAAAAAGCTTTGCTGTCACTTACTCCAATTAATTTTCCCAGTTGTTTCCACTAAATTCAATAGGAGAGACAACCTTGATTAGCAACCTCCACAAATTCAGTGGGGAAGTTAGGTACAGGTCCTTCCACAGTCAGGGTAGTTTCTACTCACATATCAACACCCATAATCC